CCGGGCCGGGTTGCCACCGGGCCGGGCTGGGTCTCGGGCCAGTTTTTATTTTTTTCTCTTCTAAATGCCCCCCCGCCCCCCCCCTCACCCCACCCCACCCCACCCCCAAACCACCCCAAATGGCCCAAAATACCCAGCCCAACCCGAGAAATTTAAAAAAAAATTGAAAAAAAAAGAATAAAGCCCGAACTGAACCTTGTCCCTTGAATTTCTCCAAAAAAGGTTGAATCCCTAACCCCAAAGCCCCCATGCCCCGACTCGACAAGGCACGTATGGAAGGATGTAAATCATGACGACTCAATTAGCCCAATGGTGGTAAGATTTATATTCGTGTGCACCAAAGATCCAACCCAGCACACAGGAATGGTAAACTTTACACGGTCGTTGCAGGTTTCGAACCTTGGTCATTCATCCAATTTTTCCACCACTCAACAAACTGAGCTACCAGTGTGGGAACAAGTATCGCCTCTCGTGTGGGAACAATTGAGCTACCGGTGCGGGAACAGGAATAGGGATGAAAAACAGGACTTAAGTGTCGGTTCGTTTTAAGTTATTTCGATTGCAAAAAATAAAAGCGATTTGTGCAAGATTGGATTTGGAAAATAAATTGCAGCAAGAGTAAACTAAAATACTTTGTTCTAACAATCGAATGTCAAAAAGGGAACTTGAATTGATTTCGTAACAAACAGAATTTAGAAAGTAATTATGGCTATGGATGGACCCGGGCCGGTTCGGGCCCGGTTCGGGCCTAGGCCCGGCCGGGCCTCGGGTCTGTTTTGTTGGGCCCGAGCCCGAACCGGTGGCCACCGGTTCCGGGTCCGGTTCCGGGCCGGACCGGGCCGGGCCGGTCGGGCCACCCGTTTCAATTTTTTTTTTCTTCCTTTCTTCCCCCACCCCCCCCACCCCCCACCCTTCCAAACCCCCCCAAACCGGCCTAAACAGATATCCCAAGCCCAACAGCCCAAAACAAATGAAAAAAATTAAAAAAAAAATAGATTTGGCCCGGACCCGGGCCCGAACCGGCCGGGCCGGGCCGTCAAAACCATGAACCGAGCCCGGAACCGCCCCACCCCCGGGCCTCCGGCCCGAACCGGACCCGGACCCGGATAACCGGGCCGGGCCGGGCCCGCACAGTAGCGGGTCGGGCCGGTCCCGGGCCGGGCGGCCCGAACCGAGGCCATGCCTAATTATGGCTAATCACATGAAAAACACTTAATTGAGCAACTCTATCATGCCACTACTAAATTCCTATCGATCTGACACCATAAAATACAATAGTTTTGAGAGCAAGACTGATCTCTCATTGTTACCAAACAAGCGAGCATATGCCTCTATATAGTTGTGTTAATCTCTTAGCGAGTGATGTGGGTGAAGTGTCCTAGAACAATTTAGATCCCTCTTAAATTATTTTATATGTGATTATGAGCTTGATGGTCATTCCAAGTTGTAAACGATAATAGTTAAATTATCCAATCACAAATCAAATAAGAATTGTGCAATTAATCTGTCAAGAATGAAGCCCTACATCATATGAACACCCCTTCATCAATCCCAAATTTCTAAATAAAACGACTCGTTATTCATAATTGCATGAACATAGAATTGGGAAGGAATAAAATACTTGTCATTAATCGAAATTAGGAAATTATAAACAAACCTCAAAATTAGTTATTTTAGAGCTAGCAACAATGAATTATCATCCAAGACCTATTTCTAAACTTCCTAACCTAAAACCTAAGGTCTAAAAATGAAAATTTTGGAATTGGATCGACCTTGGTTGGGCACGGTCATACGCATGATATTTGTGGACCGTGTGCACATAATATAAAATTCTGACCCCTGTGGCTCATGCTCGTCTCTTGCCCAATTTCTAGTTTTCATCGATATTCTCATGCCCACACAGCACCACACACGATGCGTGTGCCTATGCGCGTACATGTTTCTACTTTCAAAATTTGGCTTTGACTCCTTTATTAAAGTTGTATCTAAACAAGTCTTCAATCCACCACATTTAAATCACTTGATTTGGATCATAAAATAAAAAGATAGGGTTGAAATGGTAAAAGGTGTTCATCTTGAATTCTCAGCTCAACCACAATTGTCGAACTTGCTCGTCTGATTTCACCTTGATACTCTCATATTCTCGTTATGGTGTCATTGCAAGATATCCTCCTCATGGAATTAACTCTCTCATGAATCTAGAATGGTTTTGTACAAATTCAGTATCTAATTTAACTCTCCTTCTTCATCTCCAAATTTCATATTGAGTTATTTTTCCTCTAAAAACTGATAAATCTTTTCTGAAAATACAAATACTTGCGTAAAATACGACAAATCAAATCTTAACATAATAATGCAAGAAATTATTCTAGGAATGTGTAAAAATGACTCTCTTCCACATATTAAAGTGTGTTGGAATAAAAGTTTATCAGCAGCAATCAGGAAGTAATTAATTAAGTTGTTTATGAAATGATATATCTGATCATTCAATCGAAAGGTATATATCCCCCAATTCCGTCAACACAGCTATTTGTCATAGTTGTAAACCATATTCGACGTGAACGTGAAAGTGTTGTTATACCTTCGGACACATGATTGAAAGTGTTTCAATAGAGGGTCAAACAAAGTAAATTAACGTTATAGTTGGCATTTCAGTTGATATAAGAAAGAATTCACCCCGACTACAACAAATAACAGACAGTTCATATTGGAGTTGACATGGGTGTGCCAAAACAAGCAATCAGAATGAGATTTAGGGAGTGGGTTTCACGATCGGGAGAAGAATAACTCATGCCTCCACGACTAGATTTTTGTAAGACAAATGGTTCTAATTGACAATATAGATTAGTGGAACAAATGGGTGAGGAGATACAACGAAATGAGTTTCCGGGAATACATTAATGTGTACCATTTCTAGCAATGTGCGATCAATATGATAGTGTGGACAATCACATCAATAGGGAAAAGACATTTAATAGGGCACACAGAAAATATGGACATACACATGTTGTTATGACATATGGGTTGTAAATAAGAGGAGTAATAGTTGGCGCAAATGAAAAAGATTAGTCAGTGGTAAGGAAGGAAGTGAAAACTGCATGTAACGTCAACACATTTATTAATGTAGACTTGTACGTTTTCTATAAGATTGGGGCGGGACAGAAGGGTTTTAAGCATGGTCAAGCTGACTGCGATGCTGAAGAACCTTTTCTTCATAAGCGAAACAATGATGACCATTGCGACGTTCACATTGCCCTTTTGGAGGGACAACTATCACAAAACCAAGAGTGCACATCATCAATGGAATATTTTAGTGGGAACTATCAATATATGGGATTTACAATCCTTAAAGCTAACATTAGGAATATGAACGCCAAAGCATACCAACATGTATACCAAAGTAAACAATGTATTCATAACACTTTTCAACACCTCCCCATGGAGTAGAAATGAGGATATAGACATATATTGCAAGTACACATTCGAACACAAAAAAGCACACAACAATCAATTCATACCATAAGAAAAGACAAAAGAATCCAAAGTATGAGATTAAAGTTCATAGAAAAAGATCGGAAATCGTGTAATTTTGAGCAAGCACTTGGAACGGAAGGAAAGTAATTACAAAGGATGGCCTCACCGTACCCCTACGACCAACAAATCTGTAAACAAACACAAGCCGCAAGAATACACACAAACTAATTAAATAAACACTAACCAAGCATTCCATCCCAGCTGGTTGTGAGGTTACCGTGCCTAGTAGGAGGTCTCGAGTTCGAAACCCGCTAGGCACACAAGGGTTTGAAACTCAATGGAGTGAGTTTCAGGCCTGATTACTCCAGGCTCCCCTCAGACCCCCTGGAATAAAAAAAAACTAATTACATAAACACCCTAAAAAAACAATTTATTTCATCTTGCCTTAGTCGGGCCCTACATGCACACAAGGGCAGGTCCAAAATTCCAATATCAAATCAAGGGAGAGAGAAAACAAAAGACCATAAATCAACACTAAAAGAGAAGTTTGATTCAAGAGCTTCTCATTAAAATTATTCCCTAAACTCGGAGGCCAACAAAATTAGTTAGTAAAACGCAACATATACGCCGCACAAACCACACAAGACTATATCTCACCACACCATGTCTGGTCTTAAATTCTACAAAGGATTCCTAAACATTCCACACCCTTGTTAACTTTCTGCATGAAAGCGGAATGCATAGTATGCCCCAACAACAAAAATAAGACAGAGAGGAACAAAAAAATATCAACATGACCAAACAATCTATGCTAGTCGTACGAAACCAAAGTTACTGGCAAAACAAAATTTTCCCATCCACACAATAACTAACTAAACCACAACCCTAAAAGGGATAATGCCCAGGGAATTCACAAAAACCATCATCATGAAAACATAAAGCAGTTGAAGGGAAGGGAAAAACAAACGAAAAATATTCACTCCCTGACCACATTGAGTGGAATATTTGACCATCGTAACTGTCCTATGGCTAGGAAGTAAAATGAACCAACCTTCAATTAAAAAAGCCATATACAATTTTTGGAAGTCAAGGGCCCCTGAGCACATGAAAAATGAGCACCAAATACAAAGGAAGAACAAACAAAAAGACCAAACACACAACATGAAGACAAACAAAGGGAAGCAAGGGAGCATTCCAACTTAGAAACCAATTTCTTGAGAGCTACACACAAACGGAAGCATGAAATTAAACTAGAAAAAATGGATAGAAAAAACTGAAACCAGTAGGACGAACAATCTTAATATAATTTACGTACCTTATTTTGACACTCCAATTTACCCATCAACACCCATTCGTTCCAACAAGAAATGAACAAGAACATGCATATGGGTAGGCAGAAGACGACATTTGGGAGAGCATCAAGTTTCAAATTTGATTCAGATATTTGGAAGATTAAAAAAGGGAAATGAAATTGAAAAAACTTCAACAACTCATTTCTAGCCAGAGAGAGCAACAAACCGTGTGAACCGTCTCGAACTGTAGTGAGGATTAATAGGCCCAAACTAAGAAGCATGTAACTCTCAAGCCATATTATATTAGTGGGGAGATACATAACTAAGGAGCATGATTAACTCAAGTTGTTGCAAGGGATAAAGGCTAGAGGTTACATGATATAGAATACTTACACTTAAATGGTAGATTATTTGTAACGTTTTATCTAGTAAATGAGAAGAGAGGAGGGCTGCTAAGGGTTTAATCTAATTTCCAATCAATCGAGCGTGTTTTAATTTGTTGGTGCTGGTGCTTCAGACACAGGTTTTATTCTTTCCCTCTTCTCACGTTTCCATTTTCTATGGCATCGCCACATTATGAAAAACGCAATACATGCCAATACAACTCCAAGAACAGCGATAAGAATAACATTCTTGTTGGGCTTCTTGATGGCTTCTGGTGAAGTTTGCGGTCCGGAATTCGGGATTTGTGATAACAGTAAGCGGTGAGCTAGGAGTGAACGGGATGGGGATGGCGGCTGGGCGTAGATGTAGTGCTGATGAAGAGGAGGGCATTGATGACTCAGGGGCGGGCCACACAGGAAAAGTTTCCCTCTAAATGAGGAAGCAGGAAACCTTTTGAGTGATGGTGGGATGGAACCAGAGAGGCGGTTGTTCTGGAGGTTCAGAGTTTGGAGTGCATCCAACCGTCGTATGGTGTTTTCCGGGATAGCTCCGGCCAGTCCCATTCTCGGAAGACGAAGACCGGCTACTCTGCTTCTATCTGGGTTGCAAGTGACACCCAACCAAGAGCTGCATATTTGGGCCGCCTTCTTGTGGCTCCAGCCCATCAGCTGCAGTCTCCGATGGCCACTGTGGGGGACGACCACCGTGGCAAAGTCCAGAAGGGCTTCTTTGTCCGCCTTCAAGCCGCCTGAGACCACTCCTTGAAAGAGGAGTAAGAGTAGGAACTTGTTGAAGTAGTGGATCATTGCCATTTTAATCAACCTAAGCTTGCACCCTAATTAAGTCAATTTCAAGTACATTAATTAATTATTACTCATACAATAAGATGGAGAAGATAATTGCTTAGTGTATATGAGTTGTACACAAAGTTTACATAAAATCTCCCTAGTTGTCTGTACACAGGCAATTCATTTAAAGAAGAGTTGAATTTGATGTCAATCCCTCAATTGTTTGTGTACACAGACAATGTACAAATTTTGTGTACACTTTGTGTACACAAGAATGATTCATAACAGAAAAACTATAAAAATAGGTAAATTTGTAAGTTAATGCAAATAATATGATGACAATGAAAATAGGCTCCGAATTCAATTATAATATTCTTTAGCCCCAAAAAAATCTTCGCTTTTTCTTTTTTCCTTTGTTTCGATGTAAATTCTCTTTTGTATTTTTTGGCAGACTATATTGTTCATACTTCATAGTATATATCTCTTCTTTCACTTTCATATGTACAACTTTAGGTCATTCAATTTTCAATTTAAATACAGTCAAAATATTAGTTAATTATATTATGGGAGGGAGAGATAAGAGTAAAAGTTTCTAGATTGAGAATGAAATTAGGAGTAAAGAAATCGTTTTTTTTTTGCATAAATCTGATTTAAACAAAAAATGATCTCATTTATATACTCCATATGCTTTAACCATATGTTATTCGTACATGGGACGACCATTTCTTAAATTTATTGTATTGAAAACTTCAAAGACATTCTGTTTTGATTCAAGAAAGCTACCTGAAAACATGCAAATGAAATTACATACCGAGAATCAACATATATATAAGAGGAACTTTTTAAGAGTATACGGTGCGCCACATAATCGTGTCATGTCATCATATATAACAATTATTTAATTACTTTTTATATCTTTTATTTTCTACCAGGGGCGGAACCAGAACAAAAAGTAAGGGGTTGCTAAAAGTAGCGTACAATGCAAAAAAAATCGTTATAAAGGTTTAGAGAATATATAATTTTTTTGAATCACACGAGGATGTTTTTCTCTATTATTTTCTTTTTTATCTAGTCTAGAAGATTCAGTGCCTCGTGCATTCAAGTAACCTGAATGCAATTTTTTGTTTCTAGATTTTATATAACTTCTGTGAACCCAAATGGAACCATAAAAGTTTAATAACTAACATAGGACATGTTTACTTCACCGGTTATTAAACGGTGCTTATTAAGACCCGTGTTAATAAGCGGCGCATAAAATAAACACTGTTGTAAGACCGTGTTTACTTCAAACGGTTTAAAACACCGCTTAACATTAAAATGTCCAAAATAACCCTATACATATATATACACACAAACATTCATGAACACAAGTATATAATATAACTAGTGTAACACCCGGGGCATGCCCCGGTAGTGTTAATTTGATACGGGTGAGGTGACAAATACAGATAAACATTGTGAATTATTCATGGGATATGATCAAATTTTGGTTATAATTGATTTCTTTTACTCCCTTTGTCGCTTTATATTTAACCAATTAAATACTACTCCCTCCGTCCCAATATAAAAGGCACATTTGCGTTTGGGGAGTTTTTAAGGGTGAACACTGTTTGAACACGGTTTGACACTGTTTGGCACTGTTTGGACACTGTTTGGCACTGTTTGGCACTGTTTTGCACTGTTTTGTTTGCCAAAAAGGGAAATGTGCCTTTTATATTAGGACGGACCGAAAAGGAAAGTGTGCCTTTTATATTGGGACGGAGGGAGTATTTTTTAAGTTAATGATGTTGAATTTGACCAATTATATATTTATATACAGTAGTAATGATAATATGGAAATGATATGAAATGTGATTTGTTAAAACTTTCGGCTCATAAAAGTATAAATTTATTAACTTTAATTTCAAATAAATATATTAGTTAAAATAATAGATCAAAGTTTTATCATTTTTGACTGAAAAAGTCAAATATGGCCAAATAAAGAGGGACGAAGGTAGTATGACCTAACCACCACCATGGAATACAGGTGATGAATCACCATCTTTTGGAGTATGAATTTGGGATTACATTGTGATTTGTGTGTTTAGTATTGTAATAGTTATTAATTATTTATATGACTAATTATATGATGAGGGTGATTATAAGAAGCGTTGAATTGGAATTGGGAATATGTGGAGCTTACAATTTTACATTATTTTGGATATTCACGTTTATTATTTAATTTGTGTTGTGAGATTAGAGTCCCGTTCACGTGAACTAAAGTTTCATTATTTAAAATTTTAGTCTAGAATTAGAGTCTCACTCAAATGAGTAAGATTATTTTTTATGATTAGAGTCCTATTACATGTATTGGAGATTTCGAGTCTCATTATTTAAAAAATTGATTTTGTACAATTATTTTGGAAACTGAATAATATGGTATTTATTCTGAGAATTATACTCCATTAATATGGTTGATATTAAGAAGTTGTTATATTGGCCAGATATGAATAACGGTTTAAAACACCGCTTAACATTAAAATGTCCAAAATGTCCAAACTAACAGTGCAGTGGAATGAAATCCGCTTAGTTGACTACAAAAAGATCAACGACTTTAATAAGGACATGTTACGCCTCAAAGCACGCCTTAATTTCTGTGGTAAACCAATCACAGAAGATGAAATGATTGATAAGACCCTCTCCACTTTCCCTACCTCAGCACTTATACTAGCGAACCAGTATAGGTTGGAGCATAATAACAAAGAATAACCACATTTAATCAGTTAATTAATTTGCTCCAAGTTGCTGAAAGACAAAATCAAGTTCTCTTGAATAACAATGCCAGACCAGTTAGGACAAAGAAAATTCCCGAGGTCAACTATGGCAAAGCAAACACTGGAAAGCACCCCGGTGGAAGAGGAGAGGGCCGTACTCGTGGAAGGGGGCGCAACAATCGCGGTGGGCGTGGAGGCCGAGGTACGGGCCGTGGAGGATCTTCCCATGTGTGGAAGAGAGATACAAGTGTCGGGACCAGTGGTCAAACCAACAAGGCCCATAGTGCACCGGCAAAACCTCCAGCCAAACGAGACCGAGTTGGGGAAGAACCTGCTTCAGATGCGGAGTTTCTGGTCATTGGTTTAAGAATTGCCATGCCAGTAATAGAGTTGCTGCTGCCTACAAGAAATACAGAGAATCAAAGGAACATGAATCTCAGTTTGTGACAGACGAAGGAAATGAGGTTGATGTTAACCTCACAGTGGCGGATTTTGGTGTTAAAAATAACACCACCCATTCAGTCGATGCACCGGACTTTGATTAATTTTCCCCCATCCCACTAGTCATTTAAACAAACTCTATGTTTTTTTTCTTTCATTCCCTTTCATTTTCTGCTTATGGACATTACATGCTTATCGTTATTTTAATAATTGGATTCAATTTTTGAAATCCAAATATATACCCACAATTATCTAATGCATGTTTACACAGGAATGACTCGAGGCGAACTCGAATGTTTAGTCGATAGTGGGACAACCCACACTATCCTTAGACACAGGCAACTTTTTATTCAATTAGTAGCCTATAAATCCTTTGTGACTACGATGATTGGATCATCGAACGTAATACAAGGGCGAGGCACCGCCAAATTTATGCTACCTAACGGTACCACATTCCACGTCACAGACGCTCTATATGCACCCAGAGCTACTCGAACTTTATTAAGTTTTAAAGATATACGGGATAATGGTTTCCACGTTGAAACTCATAGTGAGGATGGGATAGAATACCTATATATTACTTCTAGTAAAAGCGGAAGAAAACGCATATTAGAAAAATTAATAAGTCAATCTAGTGGACTCTATGTCACTACTATTCGAATCTTCGAATCATATGCGGTCTCCAACAATGAAATGTTGGACATAGACTCATATAGGCTTTGGCATGATCGTCTTGGTCACCCCGGTCGTGACATGATGATTCGAATTCTCAAGAATTCACATGGACACCCTTTCTTTCGAGAAAGGAATAAAGAAGGGCGAAAAGTCAACACAGTACAAACTGTTAACCATGTGGCTCCTCCACCAGGACAATTATCTTCTAAAGCACAAGAAGAACTAGCCCATGCTTCCCTAACTATGTCCACACTACAAAACTCATTTTGCAAAGCCTGCTCTTTAGCAAAAATAGGATCGAGACCATCCTATGCTAAAGACACAAAACAAAACATCCCATTCTTACAAAGAATTCAAGGAGACATATGTGGACCGATCCATCCAGAATGCGGACCATTTAGATACTATGGTTCTGGTGGACGCATCGACCCGTTGGTCGCATGTTACCTTATTGTCCACAAGGAATGCTGCATTTGCAAAACTCCTAGCCCAAATAATTCGCTTAAGGGCTTTCCACCCCGATCACCCTATAAAGTCCATCAGACTTGATAACGCTGGAGAGTTTACATCAAAAACATTTGATGATTATTGCATGTCTATCGGGATCGACATAGAGCATCCCGTTCCCCATGTACACACACAAAATGGTCTCGCAGAAGCTACTATTAAAAGATTACAAACGATAGCTAGGGCATTGGTTATGCGCACCAACTTGCCTATATCTGCATGGGGATATGCAATATTACATGCAGCCTTACTTATTCGCTTTAGGCCCACTGCGAACCAACCATTTTCTGCGTACCAGTTGGTAACTGGATATGAGCCTGACATTTCACACTTACGCATATTTGGTTCTGCAGTCTATGTGCCAATTGCGCCACCACAGCGCACCAAAATGGGTCCTCAAAGGCGATTAGGTATATACGTTGGATACGAATCCCCAACAATAATCCGCTATCTAGAACCTTTGACAGGCGATCTTTTCACCGCAAGATTTGCGGATTGTCACTTTGATGAGACAACATTCCCGTCGTTAGGGGGAGATAAGAAAAAGGATTGTTCCGAAGAACGACGTGAATTATCCTGGTGTGTTCCTACACTGTCTCATTTTGATCCCCGCACCTCACACTGTGAAAGTGAAGTGAAAAGAATAATAGACCTGCAAAATGTAGCAGACTCAATGCCTGATGCATTTTCTGATATTGCAAAAGTGACAAGATCACACATACCAGCTGCAAATGTGCCTGCAAGGTTAGAAGTCCCCAAGGGAGGGCACAGTGCCATAGTAGGAGGCACTACAACCACACTTAGTGGAGGTGTGGTTGAGGCCGTGGCTCCTCAAAGGAAGAGAGGAAGGCCACTTGGTTCGATTGATACTCGTCCAAGGAAGAAAAGGTCGAGTACGGCACAACCTAATCCAATAATCATCGATGAACAACATCCATCCCATGAGATTATCTCCGATTATAGTTATGTCCACGAATCATTACTGGAGGACGCTCCGATGATCGAGATGATTCAAGAAAACAAGGAAATCTCTATGGATTATGAAAATGCACATGTGTTAATGGAAAGATCTTCCATACACATCGATGATATATTTGCATTTACAGTTGCTGAAGAAATTATAGAGCACGATGATATCGAACCACGCTCTGTGGCAGAATGCCAACAAAGAGCTGATTGGCCTAAATGGAAAGAAGCAATCCAGGTTGAATTAGATTCCCTGACAAAAAGGCAGGTATTTGGTCCGGTAGTGCTAACCCCACCAAGTGTAAAGCCTGTAGGACATAAATGGGTATTTGTCAGAAAGCGTAATGAGAAGAATGAAGTCCTAAGGTACAAGGCTCGCCTAGTGGCGCAAGGTTTCTCACAACGCCCTGGGATTGACTACGAGGAGACCTACTCTCCCGTAATGGACGTTATCACGTTCCGATTTACTTCAAACGGTTTAAAACACCGCTTAACATTAAAATGTCCAAAATAACCCTATACATATATATACACACAAACATTCATGAACACAAGTATATAATATAATATGTGTACCCATACCCCTAACCCCTTACCCACCCTACCTTACCCCACCCCACCGCCTACCCCTACCCCTACCCTACCTACCTGACCCCACCCTACGTAATTAAAATCCTAATTTAGAACCATTGAAATCACGGCTACAATTTTTGTTTCTAGAATTTATGTTTGTATTTTAGTATTGAAAAATATAAAGTTACGTACACATATTTCACCAAATTATTTATTACCTGAAAACAAAAGAATTTAGTGGAGGAACTTGAAAATGAACCTGAATGCAAAGATATGTGTTTGCTTGTTTAAAATTAAAAAATAATTATGCATCCCATTCAGACAGAATTTAATCAGTTTCAGCATAATTAGTCGATTCAATCAGTTTCATTTTATTATTATTATTTTTTTTATTTTGCTTACTTTTTTTTTTTGCTCCAGGGGGATCGGGGGAAGGGGAGCTGGGGGAGCCTGGAGTTTTCAGAGCTAAAACTCAGTTCATTGAGTTTCAAACCCTTATGTGTTTAGCGAGTTTCATTTTATCAAATGAGCTCTATATTAAGAGCCCGTTTGGTAACATCAAAACTGGCTGAATTGGTTGATTCTCCTGAAATTTATTAAGTTCCGGCTGAAGTGTCTGTATTGGCTGATTCTGCTGATTCATGAAAAAATTATATTTAAAATATTTGTTATTAATAAATTAAATAAAAAATCATATGAAAATAGCTAAAATGATCATCTACAGTAACTTCAGCCAATACAACCAGAAAAGTAACTTCAACCTTACTTTTTCTGCTTATTACAAAATTCAACGCGCGAAATCAAAATTTACGTGTTTGGTGAAAAAGCTGATAAACTTGATCAGCGGAAAAAGGGGTCACCAAACGTACGATTCAAATCTTATTTGTTGATAAATCTTGTTTATGACATCATATGTATATAGTTTTATGTAATGAGATGACTTAGTATCACAAAACTTGCAGTATTACTAACTTGCAGTATTACGATTCGATTTAACAATTCGATTTTCAAAAATTCGATTTAACAACTTTAGTTGTTTCCTTCATTTTGACTTTCAGATTAAATAAAGGAAAATCCTTTCCATTTCTCTTTGGAGATTGTCTTTATTCCAAAGTTACTTGCTGTGTAGTTCGCAAATGTGAATAATAAACTTTTCCTCACATTAAGAAATTTGCCTTACCATTTGGAAAACTTTTGATAGTGAAGGTGGGATCATTGCTAATTATTATTTTTTTTTCTATGTAAATACCTTTCATTGGAATATTATCTTGAAAATAATTTAATGTCATTATCTTTATCAAGATGAGAATATTTCTTATTAATTAGGGGTGAGGAAAACCGAACTGAAACCCGGATATTGACCCTGGTCAGGCCTAAATGAAAAAAGCCTGAACCAAACCCAAATATTAGGACGCATTAACGGGCCCTAAAATCTATACTCTGGTCTGGACCGATAAAAATCATAAACAATTAGATTTAATATAAAATCAATATAATAGATGAATATAATTTATAAATAACTTCTAATACTACCTCCGTCCCAGGGACAAGTTCCCACTTTCCTTTTTTGGTAGTCCCAAAAAAAAGTTCTCATTTCCCTAAATGAAAAGTTATCTTACATCAAAACAGTGTAAAACCGTGCAAAAAAGTGCCAGACAGTGTCGAAACAGTGCCAAACAGTAAAATTTACCCCTCAGTAACTTTATTTCCTTAATATGTGTGAAAGTCAACCCGGGAACTTCTACCTGGGACGTAGGGAGTATATGTTTATAATCATGGTGGATGAAAAAATGACTAGGGAACTTTTAGCGACTACAAATATGTTCAATTTGTTTACTGTAATAACCATGAAAATATATTTATAGTAAAAAATATATTTGTACTGAATATAATGGGTTTTGTTCCAGTTCCTAATTTATATAATCAGAGACCTTACAAGTAATTTACGGGTTTAGCATAAATTAACCCAGACCGGACCGATCCACCCCTATTATAAATACCATGTTTTCAATTTGGAAAGGGAAAACTATCAAATAAGCCCTCGTACTATACCGAAAAAGTCGATTAGGCCCTCGTACTTTACAAACACTCAATTAAGTCCTCGAACTATTAAAAAACATTCAATTAAGCCCTTTTGGTCGGTAAGTAACCGATTTCCCGGTTAAATGTAACCCGTTTCGCGGCAGTCGGTGTTGCTGGGGTTTGAGCACATCGTCGCCGTCGTCACCGTTTAACCGGGAAACTGGTTACTTACCGACCAAAAAGGGCTTAATTGAAAGTTTTTTAATAGTTCGAGGACTTAATTGAGTGTTTGTAAAGTACGAGAGCCTAATCGACTTTTTCGACATAGTACGGGGGCTTATTTGATAGTTTTCCCATTTGGAAATGTCATTTTGACAAATAATTCCACTTTTATGCCACTAATTTATTCGTGTGCAATATTACTACTGATTATACCATTTGTTAAATTAGACACAGTGATTAGGAGAATAATTTTCCTTTGCCTCCCATTAAGCCAATCATCCATATATATATACAAGAATTAATCCGTATGGGAGCTAGCCCTTGGACCAAATTATGTACGAAGTACAATACAGAAACTATACAAAGACTAAGCCCAAATTTGCCTTAATACCCCCGAAGTTGGAGTACGCAGATAAAAAATGTCCAACTTAGTGAGAAGATAAAAAAAAATGTCTCTTCCCTATACTAAAGAAATTGGCCACCAAAACCAAATTGAAATTATTGTCTATGAATAATATATCAAAATCATAATTATTGAAATTATATCAAATCAAACACTAATTTGAACTTAAACACTTTGCAATGGCAGTGAATTGGATTTCAATCTCTCTACTGTAGTCATTATTTCATTGTTTTATAATATTAAACAAAAGTAATTGTAGACATTACCTTGTCAGACTGAAGAACTTTTAGTTTCCCTTCTTCGTTTTTATTCTCGTTCGTTGATTTGTTCTTCTCCTTCGTCTCAAAATCGTCATCTTAAACTTCATTCTCCTTTTCTATGTTTTCTTAATTTTTGTCTCCCAACTTATTATTTCTCTTCACCATTTTTATCGTCCTTCTTTCCATGTTCTATGCGTCTTCATTTCTTCTTCGCAATTCTGTGAAATCGTTTTGAACTTCTAACGGAAAAATCTTTAGAAGAAGCCTTGGGGGAGTAGTAGCGGACAGTTTTATTGGAAACTGCAAAACGTGGATCGATAGATGCGGCGAGGCTGTTCTTTAGGTTTTAATTGAGGGGATTATTGTCAATGTGCCTGATTTTAAGTTCCACCAGTTTTAGAAGTCCTGTTTTTGGAAGTCAACTAAGAATTAGCCCAATTTGTAAAATATTCCCAAATAGGAGTATTAGTTTAAGTATTCCCAAAATAGGAGTTTTTCGCGGGGTTGTACAAAAACACATCTGCAACTACCACTACCGCTGCCGCCCATCCCATGCCACAACTGCCACAGGCCTCCGGAGTTCCAGTGTCCTCTGCTGACATCCAGATTTTGCCGCTGATCTCCGGGCATCGCTTCTACTAGGCCTTGCATTATATTCTTCTAACTTTGCTAATTAGACTTAGTTTTCTTCTTGTCTCGAGTCCATTTCTTCTACTTTAAATCTCCGGGCATTGTTGCTGGTCGCCGGAGTTTTTGTGGTTTGAAAAAAATCAGATTCTTTTCTCAGACCGCCTGCTGCCGCCACTAACAGACTGTCTCAATTGTCCACATAAACTAGCACGACAATCAATTAATTAGAATATGTGTATTAGATATAGAAATTTAGAGTTTACTCCCATTTAAGGAAGATTATAGGTTAACTCTTACTTCCTACGTCCGAAATTAATTTTCAAGTTGGACTTCACGGGTTTTTAGGTAGAAAAAAAGTAAAGCATGACTTTCCAAATTTTCCCTTCCACAGTAAAGAGATGTAGTGGTCCAAATTAATTAGAGGTAAATGAATAATAAAAATAGAGGGTAAATGGGTCCATTTAAAGAAAAAGCTTACTATAAACTAGGGTTGGGCACGGGCCGGGTCGGGGCGGGTAATGAAAAATAAAATGGAACCGCCGGTTCCATTGTACGGTTCGGTCCGGTCCGGGTATTGCAATTTTCAAAATAGGATCTGGACCTTACCCGTCCCGTTTGAAACGGGTCGGTCCGGTCCGGGTTTTACGGTTTCTATTCTCATGTTTTAAAATTAGTAAAAACTCACGAAGTTCCAAAAATCAGTAATCAATAATATAGGACATTAGCAAGTTTCAAAACAACAACATAGTGGTGCACATGTAACACAAGCGACAAGTCCAATACTCCATAATTTCATGTATATAAGTTTCAAACAATTAAAGAAATTCCAAAAATAAGCAACATAGCCAAAATACATATTTTCTAACATTTGTATTTAAACATGTTGTCTAACATCACATATTAAAGTGATTGTTTTTTTAATTAAATTTTCAGTATTAGCCAAAGTTGACACATACATGGTGGGTGGTACCCATAATTTATATATTTTAAGAACAATATTATAAAAAAATATAACAAAATCATTTTTAACAAATAATTAAATTCCATAGAAAGGAATTAACTCAATAACAATAAAAAGTAATAAGACATTTATGAAAAATTTAATCAATAATTTGAAAACAAAAGGATGTTACTGCAACTCGATTTAAAGTTCTACTTCTAACAAAGGAAACAAAACCATTTCAAAACTGATTATCACAAAACTATTAATAAATTACTCCCTCCGTTTTTTAATATTAGTCCTCTTAGGCTTTGGCACGGGTTTTAAGAGGAAAGTAGTAGGGGTAGTGTAAAAGGTGTAATGAGTAGTGGGTAAATGAAAAAGTAGGAAAGAGAAAGGGGTAATGGTAATAAAAGTTGGGGTATAAAGGTATATTTAGAGTAAAAACTTTCCTTAAATGGAAAGGAGGACAGATAAAAAAACGTCCCAAAAAGGAAAGAAAGACTAATAAAAAACGGAGGTAGTAATATACAATATATATAACGGGCCGGGCCGGGTACCCATTATTTTTTAATTTTGGAACCAGTCCAGTTCTTTAAAAAAAATTACCCAACCCTACCCGGACCGTTTTATGGCAACAAAAAATGGAACTGACCCGTTTTGGACCTGAACCGCCATTACCCAGACCGGACCGTGGTTCCAAGACCCGTTTGCCACCCCTACTATAAACTAATTTAAAAAATGTGTAAGTTAATTTAAAGCATTTAGTAAACCAATTTACTAACCCTTCCTAAGAAAGCCAAACTATTGCAAAAAAAGAACAGTTGCCGGCTAAAGACACAGGCGACTGCCGACCACCGTTCTTGTCTCACAGCCAACCGAACTTCCAACGACCGCTCCTGTCCAGCAACATTCACCCTTTTTTCACCCAGTAGTAAATGCTCTTTTACATTATACTCGTATATTTTATCTTTATGTATCAATACTTTTATGACTTTTCAGTTTTGTAATAATGCCTAAAGAGTGTTTGTACTAATGTCTCGGTGAAATTTTCAATTTTAAGAAGAGCAATCGCTTTTCTTCGTAGATATCCTCATATACTGGAGCAATGACTCACTCTTATACAGTGCGGACCCAGGACTTTTGTAAAGTGGGTCACAGATGAACAGCGGCTGGGTCTGACCATTGGCTTCGGTCTGATTATGTCTCAGTTAGTTCAAGGTCTCAAGTACATAGTTTTAAGTTTGGATCCAACCATAGGCTTAATAGTAGTGCTTGTTTGCTCTTGATTATTAATTATTGTTACCCATGTTCATGTTTAGTAGTTTAGTGCCCCAAAGCTGTGTACACTATGAAAAAGCTCAGTAGTCTTTTGTAGTATGCTGATCAATATCTTCTCATTTCTAAAAAAAATACCCGCACATATAAGGGCCTGATGGACTTTGATATATTTTCTTATATATCCTACAAATTGAATTATTAATTTATTCATTTTTGGGTAAACAGAATCTTAAGCATAAGTTTTTGGAGAGATCATGGCGACGGTAAAGCAAGAGCATGAGGTTGTTTCACTGAAGCTATTGATAGACGACAAGATCAAGCGAGTTGTTGCTGCGGAAGCGAATAAGGACTTTGTGGATATACTTTTCAGTTTTCTCACCCTTCCAATGGGAACCATTATCAGGCTCACCAGCAGCTCTGCTCAGCTAGCAGAAACACCTATAAGCATTGGATGCATGAACAAGATATACCAAAGTTTTCAAAATCTAGATAGTGAGTATTGGCAGACAGAACACTGTAAGAGCATGCTTCTGAATCCAAGAAATCCCTTTGTCAGCTACTGCAAGAAGTTGAAGATTAATATTGATGATTCAGGGTCTGAAATCACATATGGCTGTTCCAGGGAGGGTTGCTCACATTATAGCATGTACCAAAATGTTAGTTGCCGTTGTGAAGAGGGGAGGACCACCAAAGAAAGGGAGTCGGTCGAAAAGAATGTCTCAAGTCAAGAGGGGGTCTTTTTGAAGGGAGGAATAGTGTTCATAATCAGTGATGATTTACAGGTTAGGCCTGCCACTCCATCTGTTCTTGCTCAACTTATGCCTGACATCAGTTCAAGAGAAGGGAGTAAAATCAGAGAGATGCATGTAAAAGTTTCCATGGCTGAGGTAACACACTGCTAATCTATATAGGTATTTAGTGATCTAATATTTTGTGTATTCTTATTCGATTAATGGGATTTGGCCGGCGTAAAAACCCTAAGAGAGTCAGGTACATTTTCAAGGCACTCATTTCATTAGTTTAATATAAATGACTGAACAGTCATTATACAGTTACCATACACTATAAATTTCTAGAACTCCTCGGGCGTATTGTTGTTAGGATAGAGTAATTTCACATTTATCATGACAAGGTAAGTTTTGTTCTTTCTCTTTGCTATTAAAAGATAACAGTTACAATGTAATCCTATTTTTGGAAAACCCAAACATATTGTTCCTCTTTAAGTCAATTTCCTATCAAAAGAGTGAATTGTGTCACATAAGTTATGAAAGATGATGATAAAACTTCTAGTTACCCATTTGCATCAGTATATGCACTATGGCCCGTGGCCATTCATCCGCGTGCAGTGCGCGGTATGTAGCCAAAATTTTCAAATCTGACTAGAGAAAGACTACATAACGAAAGTGTTTGGCCGAAGTGTTTTATGGATTATGGCAGTGTTGAGTGACTCGAATCAAGACCTCAATTTTATCACTTTGCAGGTTATCTGCTTGTTTGCACGCTCACTGATCTCTCAGTCTCCTTTAAGTGACGTTTTTCTCTCTAAACTTTCTGGATATGGAATGGTGGGAATCCAGAGGAAACCGTCAAAACTTGGGACTTCTTTTTCATCCCCAACTGCCGCCGCAGTAGACACGGCTAAGGAGAAAGTTCCTACTCTGGATCTTAAAGTGACGTGTATTAAGTCGACAAACAAGATATTGTTTGGTGAAGCAACAGATGAGTTCTTTGATTTCCTTTGCAGCTTCCTGACAACTCCTGTTGGAGCAATGATACGGGTTTTGGAAAGGCAGTCGGGGTTGAAATGCTTGGATAACCTGTACACAAGTGTGCTGGAGTTGGAGCAGAAATGGTTTCATTCGTCCGACAAGTGTGGATTACTCAACCCACATATTGCGGAACATCATGAGTGCAAGAAGCAGCCGCTCAGATTTGCTTTTGGCAGAAGATCTTATTATGGGCCTAATAACCCTAAGGGCGGGTTTTCTTCTAATTTTGCTGTGGAACCATCTGTGTTCTTGGTTTCGGATGATTTTGAAGTGAAGCCACTTTCTGTTGCCTCCTGTTTCCTCTTACTAAATGAATTACAAATTCCTTTTGATCAGACTGAAGAGAAACGGGTTACTGTGGGTATGAAAGAGGTATTAGTTAACACTGCTCAATCCTCATCAAACATTTCTACTAAAATACTTCCATGCGTATCAGTTTGATTTTTTAACTGTGCTTATTGCTAACAGGCGATGAGCTTACTGAAGGCTGCTCTCACATCACCATCATCTGCTCTTACAAATGGCTTGGGCCCCTTCTTGCTGAAGCGCGAACCCTAGCCCCACCATTTATAAATGCCTCTATGAAAATCTGAGGGAGAGCTTCAAGCGTTGAAAGTTCAGTTATATTTATCCAGTATCCTCATGATCCCAAGAATGTTTTTTTGCTCTCGGTATCCTTTTTGTACTTTGAACTCAACTATGGTGTACGGAGTATTATTCTCTAATTAAAACTCCTCTTTGTTTCTTAAGGTCTATCTTCCCTTATTCTTATATAGATAGTCAAATACCAAAACGACCAATGTCATCTGTCACTCTATGAGAAATTATGCCTATACCATAAAGGTAGACTCTATGGTACTATTAAGGTATTATACCTTTGTCTACATGGACCAATTAGAATGATGCAGTTGCATTATTTAAATCTAAATTAAAAATGATATAATGATTTGAACAAATAACTGAATGGTAGGTACGGTACCCTATGGTAAATGCATCTTTAACTTTTCTATTTAGGAAAAGGTGTGAGCTCACTAGAATTGAGCAGTAAAGGTCAATGTAAGACGGGCTATGAGTTGTTCCAGAATTGGTCCTGGATTGTAGCTGCCTGAAATAAAATCAGAACTAGATAACTCAGTTATGGTTTCAGTTAGGCATAGATTGGGCTGGGTCCGGGCCGCGACTGGGTGGGCTCCGGGACCTAAATAATCAAGCCCGGTATCGGCCCGGCTATATACTGGTACTGGGTTGGCCCGACTCGTCCCAGCCCAAGGGCCCCAAACCCATTTTTTATCTATTTGGGCCCGGGCCTGGCCCAGCCCGACCGGTCCGGTCCAATAAATTCCAATCTCGTAGCCCACCTATTTATTCCTATGGGTCGGGTTTGTACTTTATCAAATTATGTATTGAACCCAAGAAATGAATAAACGCATTTTACGTGATTGTGAATTTTTATCATTTCTTTTACGTGAATAGTAAAATTCACGTGAGGCCCACACCGGAAGTGGGGGCCGCCCGATATTATCGGGACCACATATTACATTCATTTGGGTCAAGATAATATGTGTATAATGGTGGATAGCCTGGTTGGGCCATAGAAGTTATGTGAGTAACCTTTTGGGCATATAAAGCCCATTAATCGGTACCGAGATAATATCAGATAAAAAGCCATAATAAATTATGGAGACTACCAGATTGAAAGTTGGGGAATATACATTCATTCTTATAGCCAATAATAATTGGAAGAATGAGAGATATTTCACTTTACCCGATAAAACGAAATATAGTTCAAACAGCCCGGAAAATACAACTTTCGGGACCAAATATACACTTGGGGACGCAAAGGGATGACCTCCCACATATGTGGGGGCCACCCCACGAATTTATATGAGACAATTAGAGGTGGTGGGCGGCTGGAGTGATGGGAGGAGTGAAGGGAAGGGTTGACTTGAGTGGTAAAGCATCAAAAGGACAATGAGGGGCCATGTTGGTGTGATTATTGAGGGTTAAGCCAAAATAAGGCCATATCCTCCCCCCTTGCCCATTCATGCGCGACCCCATCATCTCCATTTGAGAGAGAAGCTCTGCAAATTATCATTTCCACCATCTCCATTCGAACCAAAGCTAAGGAAGAAGAAAGAGGGGAAAGAGAAGAGAAAGAAGGAGGAAAACTTGAGGATTAACAAGGTAATAACTCCATTAATCCCATTCCTTTTCTTTAATCTTCCAACATGATTATGTAATCATATTTCATACCCATAGAACTGTTCTTCACATTGGATGTGAAGAATGAGGGGTTGGAAGGGGGGTTCATATCCAAAACGAACTTTGAGAGCAAAGTTGACGGGTTCGTCGGAAAATAACCTTTTAGGGGTTATTTGTGGTGATATGGGTTTTATGATGATAAAACCTTGTTGTTAACTTGTATAAGGTACTTCAAGGACTTTCACGGAGTTGAAAGGGTCGCCGGAGTTGTCGCCGGAGTTAGTCGAAGTTCACCGGAGTTACACCGGAGCTCAATAAGAGAGGCTAGAACTTCATAAGCTTCTTTTAAGGTGTGAAGACGGCTATATGCTTTATAACTCTTGCGTTAGGCATGCGATTACCTAAATTAATCAAGAATATGTTTTATGAATTGATTAATGGTATTAAAGCATGTGTTATGTTATGTTAAGAACTATAACAAGGTTGAAAAGCATGAAATGTATGTTTGACTAGTGAAATAATTATAAATTGAGATGTATAATGTTCCAAGGACCAAAACAAGCATTTTTGGATCAAGGACTTCAAGTAGTACACGCATGTAAAATTTCACGTTAATCGGACTCCGTTTGGGCGGTCAAACGGGCGTTGACCGCCAAGTCAACTACAATACCCGACCGGGTATTGGCAAATACCCGACCGGGTATTTGCTGAAAATCTGCCCCAAGGGCTGCTGTCTCCTATACTCGATCGAGTATGGATAGGTACTCGATCGAGTATGCATGGAAAATTAGCCTTACGGGCTGCTGCCTCCTGTACTCGACCGAGTATAGGTAGGTACTCGATCGAGTATTGGGTTATACTCAAAACGGGTAGTTTTTGAGTAGGTTAACGTGGACCGATCAGGTGGGACCCGTCCACGTTGGTTACTAAGGATTATTATATGACTATAGGACTAGGTATTGTCCATAGTTAAGTGAATGCAAGGTTAGCCATATCCAGGTTAGGGTTTGGTTAGAAATAAGGTTGAGGTTGAGTATCCTCGGGACGGTAAACGATCCCAAAACTCGGTGAGGTTGAGTATCCTCAGGACGGTAAACAATCCTAAAACTCGGTGAGGTTGAGTATCCTCAGGACGGTAAACGAGCCTAAAACTCGGTGAGGTTGAGTATCCTCAGGACGGTAAACAATCCTAAAACTCGGTTGAGGTTGAGCATCCTCGGGACGGTAAATGATCCCAAAACTCGGTTGTGGTTGAGTATCCCCGGGAGGGTTAACACTCCTGAAACTCGGTAGGATATTATGAAGGTAGAATGTAGCTCGTGAGCTAGGCATTCGGGAATGAATGGGAAAGGTTGGGTAATCACCTTATCTCTAAAAGACTCTTTGTGATAAAACGACCTACGGGTTAAGTATTTTACAAGTATATATACGGTATGAATTATCTTGGGGATGGGGTAACAATGGTTACACCTATAAATATATGTATCATCCTATTTTTGGGTCTCGTGTCTGAAACATTAGTTATTCCTCATATAGCCTGCTTGTCACCAGTACTTTCTATGGAGTACTGACCCCTTCGGGGGCCCTCACATTTTTCAGGTTAAGGCTAGAGTCCTGCTACCTGCACCTTTGCCTAGGGTGAACTCAAATAAGGAAGACGTGGTTCGTGCTTCCATTCTTATTTGAAATTATGAAATTGCTCATGGATATTTGAACGACGTTTTCTATTAAACTATTGAGGGGCCTGCGTGCTCATGTTTGCCACGTGTGGCTAAATGTCAAACATATTTTATTTCCGCATTTGTTTGATTTATATATTGATGTTGATTGTATGGGTTTACTAATCGGTTTGGCAATACAATCTATCGGACGCCTTGTATGACTTGATAAGAATGAACTACATTGTTCTTATTGGATTGTACGGCGGTTGTCTACGTGGCACGGATGCGGTCCGGGGCGTGACAGTTGTGGTAGAGCTCGGTTATTGGTGCCTCCAACCTTAGGCCTCTTTGTGGCGGGAGCTATGAATGGGCTGCAAATGTACTTTGATGGCAACCTCTTTCTCTTCCTCACTTCTTTCATAGTAGCTTCTTCGAGGGCCATCATGTCTACACCGCCGGTTCCAACTTCATCACCAAGGTCCCAATCCAAGTTTGCAAAAGGAGCGTGGGGTGTCAAAGCAGAGTCATCTCCCACCTGCACAAAACATTAAAAACTAGGGATCATATATACGCACACACAAATAAATGTCTGTGAGGACAAGTTTACTATGCCTGTGCACGTAATGTCTAATGTTTGTGTGATATACATACTGTCTGTGAATATAAACAAATTTTACAAATGACAATGTGAACCTCATTCAAGGAGATCAAAAGATCTGTGGGAGTGGGACAGTCCTCATACATGTGTTCTTCAAGAGTACCCTCCTTCAACTTTGAAATAAAGGAAAAGTTATATTACCCAAAACAATCATGACCAACAAATTTTTTTGAAAGAATAAATGATATGAATGTATCATTGAAGATACCTCAGCCACTACATTCATTACAGGATCAGTTTGTAGTCCCTTTTGTTGTTCACCAACAACATCGTTGGAGTTATCTTCTTCAGCCTAACAATTCGTAAATCACAGACATATCTCAGTCATATATCACATTGACACAGACAACACGAAAGAGTTATACAGACAAAACTTTGCTAAATACAGACACTATAAACTCCACACGACAATAACATTTTTTTAGTTGGTCTTCAACAACTTAATTTGCAATTATTAAAACCCAAACCCAAGATTATCCAAAAACATACCTCAGTTGCAATAGGCTCAGTAAACATATTCTGATCTTCAGGAATAACAGGAACAGAATTATCTCCTTCACCCTAACCATTATTTATACAGACATTTATTAGTTAAACACAGACAAGACGATATGTACGTAGTCATAATACATGGCTACATACAGACACTTAAAATAGCACACAGACAATTAAATGTTATACCTTTTCCTCATAGTATAAAATGAAAACCCGTAAGGTAGAAAACTACATACCACGGTCCCAGCATTGTCAACACCATGTGTAGACATATTTTGATCTTCACCATGTGGTGCACAAACTTCCGTGTCTTTTTCATGATGACTTGGGGCAGATGGACCCCCCTTACAAACCAACAACAAAGTATACAGTAAGAGTACATACGAACAAGAATTTACTTAATACAGACAACAGAAAATCACAACACAGACATATCATAACAATTTATACCTTTTCCTGTAAAGCAATGTTGACTTTATCAATAACCTGAAGCAGCAGGTCTTTTACTCCACCAAGCTTCTCATCCACCCTTTTCTCCAGCCTTTGAAGACTGGTTTTGATTTCTTCAATGTTCACACACATTTGTTGCACCCTTTCCCTTGTTTGTACTTCAAGATTGTCTTCATCTTCATCTTCATTATTGGAAGAAGGGGGGTAGGCACCTCCTTTGAAAACAAAAACATGACTTAGTATTATAAATATATACGAAGTATATTAGGGGACAATTATAATAGGAATGATAAAGAAAGAAGACTTCACATTAGCAAAGCAAATATTCCGTATCGTAGAGGCCCGAAATTTCCCATGACATGACCAATTCAATATTGGGACTTCACGATTACCAACACGTGTGCCAAAATGTTCCCCAAAATTAGGTAACTTTTCATATGCCCACACCTAAATAAAAGAAGTATAAGTTAACAAAGAAATATTCAGGAACACAGATCATAAACATATCTGGGAAGGAAATGTATTGTTTGTGAGCAATCAAAAACATGTCTGGGAAGGACACTTTTGTCTGTGAGCTATTATATCCTGTTTGGGAAGGATAATAAGTGTGTGTAACATGAATAGAAATGTCTGGGAAGGTCAAGTATTGTCTGTGGAAAACAATACTTGTAGATTACAGTAAAAAATGATACAAAGTAAATATGAATCATACCTGTAGGACCAATGGGAAACCGTAGACCGAGAACTTTGCATTTTTGTAATCAGGGTTGTTAGCTTTATTGTCGAAAAACTTCTGTTCCTGGCCATCAAGAAGCTTCTTTAAATCGGTTACCAGCGAATGGTAGGCGTCTCTGGACCACGGCTCCTTCTTGAACTCCTCAAAGTCATTTACCAGCTGAATAGACCTCCTGCTAATCTTTGTTGACCTGTCTCTTCCGAGCAATACGTTCTCAATCATGTACAAGGATGCAAGCTTCACACCTAGCATCGCTCTGCCTTTTCTAATAGGACGCACCATTTGAACCCTTTCCTTCAACTGCAAGTAAGTGATATCTAAAGATCCTTTAAAGTATGTGGTAGCAACCTCCCCAGGTTCTTCCACTTCTTCAGCCTGTTCATCAGAATTTTCTTCAACTTCTTCGGCCACGACAGGTCTGGGGGCTGCCACTGGTAATCCGGTAATGTGGCAGAAATCATTGTATGTGAATTCTACAATTTTACCCTCCACATTGAACCAGAGCTCATCTTCAGGCTGTTGCTTCACAAGGTGTAAGAGCAACATGTGCACAATTTGGGCACAAAACTGAATGTCCGGTATATCCAAAAGGTGACCCCACGGTGTGTTCCGGAATGTTGACAATTCTTTCTTAGACAACATGTCGGTAATGCACTTCCTCGCACATTTGTAGTCAGAACACATAGAATACTGTGCAGGGAAATGCTTGCTCAATGGAATCTTAAGTTCAAGTGCCCTGTGATTGCAAGGAATAAGTCATAAGCAAACAGACATATGTTAAGTCACACAGACAAGTATTGAGTTAGATACAGCCGTACCCCCAGTTATTTATTGAGCTGAGTACTCTAATGAAGTCAATCCTAAAAGTTAGATGCTAACTGCTATAGAGACATACCAAGTTTTTTTGCCTATCTAGTGTATATAAGTACAAGTGTATATAATCAGTTACATGCTGGCTGCTATACTAGATGGTTTTAAGTGGAATCTAGATTTTAGATTAGGATTAAGTGGGGTTAAGCACAACATAAATGCAATTAGATGGTATTAAGTGGGAAAAAAGACAACACCACTTTTTTTCTTGATTATGACTAGAGAGTTGAAGGTAAGTATGGCTGACTGTGAATTCTTTTTTAAAAACTTTCCTTCAACAAAACCTGTTTTACTCTTATATCGTTGTGTACAAGTACAAACATTAATATTATGCACACAGACAAATGTGGAGGATTACAGACACATATAATTCTTCACAGACAAACTCAGCCAGAGAGCCAATTGGTCATTGTGTACAAGTACAGACTTACCTAAGAGGCACACAGACATATGTACACAGATACAGGCAATCATAGAAGCATAAAATCAACCTTACACAGACAATACATATTCTTCAAAATCCAATTTAATATCATCAAATAGCCTAAAAGTGTAAAAAAAATCAAAAACTAAGGACAAGGATACATACCTTTCAGCCATGGTTGATAGCGGGGTTCGGACCATTGTCAACTGAAACGGAGGTTGGCGGGAGGAGGGTTCGTGGCGACGACTGTGCGTGGAGGGTTAGTGGCGACGAGGGTGGAGGGTTAGCGGCGACGAGGGTTCGTGGATGGTTAGCGGCGTCGAGGGTTCGTAGATGGTTAGCGGCGGCGACAGTTCGTGGATGGTTGGCGCCGGCGAGGAACCCTTCGTCGAAGGGAGAAGATTGGCGACGGGGTTTGGGAAGTGTGATGGGCGAAGGGGCAGGTGGGATGCGTGAGGGGGGTGGTGGGATGCGGGAGATTTTTTTGGGAGCGGGAGAGATTTTTTGGATGTGTGCACGTGTGGAATTGGCTGAGGTGGGGAAAGGGGGGTAAATTTTTTTTGGATTATTTATAGTGTGTATGTGTGTGTATGGATTTTGTGTAACAATAGAAATTTTCAAAATGGAAAATGAAAGAAGTGGTCCCACATTTTTTCATTTAGTTCACAGTAATGATTTCTATTATATACACAACAATCCTTCCACCCATTTGATACTGCTACATATCACAAATACCAATAAGATACATATGAAAATGCCTCAACCTCTTCGCTATATTAAAGATATTAGGTGGGAAGGTATGAACCTATTTGAGTCCCAACTATTGTCTGAACAAGTCCAGTTTGCTGGAAGGATAACGTGTGTAGGCAGCCTACGCCATTTGGAGCAACTGTCGCTTAATTCATTCTTTATATACATTAACTTTCCGATGGGAACACAATTAAGAGGACAATGATAAGAACATGTATATATGTTTCCAATCTAATCATCTAAAAGTGTGTTTTGTATAAAGAGTTTAATTGGAAAACAAACAAGCATATATGTTCAAAGAGTTTTGGTTCTTAACTGACAGTGATACAGTGATACTCCACAATCTACACACATCTTCAGAATTTAGGAAATTAATCATTTACTTCCTCCGTCCCTAAATAATCTTCACTCGCTCCTTTCGGTCCATCCCAAATTTATAGCTCATCCTTATAAGGAAAGCAATATATGGTTCATATAATTTCGCTCTTTCATTTTCTTTAACTATGTGTTCAGTCAAAGTGGGACTTTATTTAGGGACAAAGGTAGCATTAATTTTCACAGTAGGCTGATAAAGAATTTAAAGGCTGGACAGATTGCAAAGGCATATAATCACAACAACATAATTGAGAGATGAAAAAGATGGAGTTTGACGGAAGCATGACACAAGCTTATTAACGTAGAACCAATACAAATTAGATATCATATAATTTAGAGGTATATTAACAAATTAGGCTTATTAACGTAGAACCAATACAAATTAGATATCAAATAATTTAGAGGTATATTAACAAATTAGGGGGAGAAACAAAATAGTTCAAATAATACTTTAGATCCTTACGGTAAGGACAGTATACCAAAGTAGTCTACAAGCAATAAATGTCAATATTTATAAACTACTCTTATTAAATGATCATACGGCGGCAGAAGTATCGTTTTCTCCCTGCGGCGGCTGTTCTTCCATGTTCTCCCCGGAGACTTCCTCAAGAGATTTGCCCTTTGATTCTGGAACCAATAGAGTGAACAGAATGCCCAGAAAGTTGACCACGGCCAATACGATAAGCGAATTCCTCACCCCGATTCCCGCGGGATACCCCGCATCCGCCTTCGACTTGTCTTTGGGCTGGGCCAGGTACAAGAACCCGAATGAGCCCACTATCGCCCCCATCTTCCCCGCTGCCGCCGATATCCCGTGGCAAGTGGACCGCAGCCTGGCCGGGAAGATCTCCGCCGGGACCACAAACGTCGTCGCATTCGGCCCAAAGTTCGCGAAGAAGAAGGTCAACGCGTAGAGGACCACGAACCAAATCTGTTGACCCGGCTGGGTCCAGTGGGCGTACGGGATGGCAAGCCCAAACATGAAAACGGTCATCATCGTGAAGCCCACCAGTTGGATGGTGAACCTTCCGAGCCTATCAATGGTGGCCACCGTCACCCAGTATCCGGGAACCGTACTCAGGAGAGCGATCAAAGTCTGCGCCCTCGCGATCTTGAACACCTCCCCGGCGGCGCTCATCGTCTTCGCCGCCGGAATCCACCCGACGGCGGTGAATATGTCCTTCTGAAACAGGTTCTGGCTGTAGTACGCCACGTCCAGCAAGAACCACGTGCTCGTCGTCCCCAGCAAGTGTAATCCATGGCGGCGGGCGAATTCCTTCGAGAACAATCCGAATGATGATGATAATGTCGGGTTTTCGGAGGTCGTCGTCGTCTTAATTTCGGCCTCTATATCCTCTTGCATGACTTTCGACATATCCTCCGCCGCCTTCTCAGCGTTCTTGGCGACGAGAGCCGTGTAACGGGCGGTCTCCGGCATCTTCGCTCTCCAGTACCAAGTCAGCAACGCCGGGAGTGAACCCGCCATCAATATGATCCGCCACACGTAATCCGCCTGCGGAGGCATGGACCCGACCGGGTCCAACTCGTACGGTGGAGCCTTGTAAGCCCATCCGAAGGCGGCGGAGACGAGCATGGCGATGGCTCCGCCGCTAAGGATCCCGAAGCCCTGCATGGCGAAGACTGCAGCAATGAAAGCGCCGCGGGTCTTCTTGCTGGCGTATTCGGACATGATGGTAGCGGAGAGAGGGTAGTCGCCACCGATCCCGAAGCCGAGCCAGAAGCGGAAGAAGCAGAGCGTGGCCATGACGGCTCTGGGATCGGACCCGAAAGAGAGCCCGGAAGCAATGGAGCAGCCGCACATGAGGACGAGGGTGATGCCGTAGACCTTCTTCCTGCCCAACTTGTCGCCCATCCACCCGAAGAAGAGCTGGCCGGCGAGGGTGCCGCAGAAGGCAACGCCGTTGACGGCGGCGGAGACGTTGGGCGGCAAGGAGCCGGGCTTGGGAGAGCCGGGGACGTGGTAGTAGAGGCGGCCGAGGAGCTTGGTGACGAGGGAGATGCAGAAGAGGTCATAGGCGTCGGTGAAGAAGCCCATGCCGGCGATGACGATGGCGGTGAAGTGGTACCATTGGGTCTTGGCTTCGTCCAACTTCCTCAAAACTGTCAAACCTTCTCCCACCATTGTTACTAGCTACGTATGTTGTGGGGAATTAGGGTAATCCAACTTCTTTTATAAGCGCTCAGCCGACTGCAAAACTAAACTCCTTTTAGGATTTGGAGTCTTCAAAATCGATCGGGAGATGATATCGACGAGGAACCCATCTATTTCTATTTATATATAAGAAAAGAAATAGCTCATAAAAATACTATTTTACCCTTCATTAATCCTATGTGTCAAACTCTCCACAATTCTCTCATTTTCTATAAAAATGACACGTGGTTTTTTTCACTCCAAAATACCGAATTTTCCAATTGAAATGGAAGGGGAGCAGCCGTGGGATTTTCAGTTGGTGGGGCCCAACCAATAAAAACCCCCATTTTTTTTTAAAGTATTATAACTTTTTCATTTTTGTTCCAATTTTTACAAAAATCATATCAAAATTCATAATTTTTTGTGATCTTTCATATGAGATCAATATTGAATATATACAAATATAATTTATTAACGATCTCTATAATTATGCTTATAACTATCTATATTCAATTTATGATCTATTTTGTTGTCTCAATAAAGGAAGTTTTTAGCTACTTTTCATATAATGTTTTTCTTAATTTCATTAATAAAATTATTTTAAATTAAATTTATCTATAAACCAATAGATTCAACTAATTCAACCGCTTTTCATATAATTTTTTATATACTTCATTAATGAAATATAATCTAAATTAAATTCATCCATAAATCTAAAGAATCAATTTCAACCAATTCAGACATTTTTATGAGAATTTCATCAATTTCAAAAGGACGAGACAATTTAGCCGGCCAATTTCAGTGTTACTAAACCGGCTCTAAGTATCAAAATTAGAACATGAAAGAAACAATAGATCAGTGGGTAATAAAAAGGGGCTTTTTGAAAAAAGGATTTCTTAACAATAAAAAATGAGAATCTTGAAAAATCACATTTCATAATTAAAAATCAACATGTTGAAATAATATCTCTATGATAGTAACATGTATGTGATTCAAAGCTACAAATATACTGAATTTGATTACTATTGTGAACTTTCAATTTTGTACATACAAACGAGACAGACTTATGAGCATGCTCTATTGATCAAATATTATTCCTGAAAAGATCTCTATAATGTACATAGTCATAGAAAGAGTACCATATAATTCCTTGACTTCAAATCATATTTTTAGTCATGTTCATAGTATCATAGTTTTGGTGAGAGAGAATCAAAGTTGGTTTACCAATGAATGACAAAATGATATGGTTCTTATAGAATTGAGGAGAAAATTTTAGGTATAAGATAAGTCGATTAACAATTGAGTGAGAGAAAATTATCTATCTCATGTGTAATGATTTCAGGAAATAGAGTTTAAAAAATAATGTCAAACTTGCTAAATAAAGTCATATATACATTATATGCATTACCTTCCTTAAAGTAGTATTTTTAGAGGTCGGGCATATCATTTTTTTAAACAATGTCCATAATGTAATAAAAGATCACACAATTAGTAGGACGAGAAAATTTACATGTGAATCGATCAGATCAAAAGTTCATACTATTCATAACGTTCGTTTGGTAAAACTGAAATTGACTAGATCGGTTGTTCCGCTGAAATATAATTTATGAAGTTTTGGCTAAAATGACTGGTTTGCTAATTATGTTGTTTATGGAAAATTATATTTAAAATGTACAAGGACACCAAAGGGGCTCATAATAATAAACCTATAAAGCAGAAGTTCTTCCATTTGTTAAGATATACTTCGTACTCGGTATGAACAAAAAAATCAAAGTCTTAACAATCTAACATTATAAAGTAAATAAAAAACGGAATTATGTAATTAAGTAATGAGGATGTGGAAGATCAGGAACAACACTTACATCAAATAATTTTTAGAGGAAACTGAATGGTGCATAACCTCTCGGCGTGCAAGAATTGACCGCTTTTTTGAAATGCTATCGAGGGCTGATAAGGTGTTGATGTGCTCGATTGTGGGAAAGACGAGAATTTTCTCTCTCATATATAGTGCTCTTTGGTATATGGTAAGATAATCCGGCTAAGAATTGAGCACAATCAGTTTCTCTCTCATACATAGTGCTTTTATATATAAGCTCAGTCGTCTAACACTCGAGTGAGAAACTTTTCCCTCTCATATGTAGTACTTTTATGTATTGTTACTACGAAGTAGAAGATAAGCTTGGGAACAATTGAGCGGGAGAAATTTTTCTCTCATATGTAGTTCTTTTAAGTATAAGATAAGATAATTAGACAAACGATCGAGCGGAAGAATTTTTTCTATCATATATAGTGCTTTTAGGTAATATAAGTCTGCTGACAATTGAGCGGAAAAATTTTCTCTTTCACATGTTGCGCTTTTAAGTATTATACTACGGAGTAGAAGATAAACTTGCTAACAATTGAATTGGGAAATTTCTCTCATATGTATTGCTTTTAGGTATTACAGAAGTCGGCTGACAATTGAGCGACATAATTTTCTCTCTCATATGTAGTGTTTTTAAGTATTATTATGAGCGATTTCCCAAAATAGGACCACACAGGGTCTGAAATTCCAAAATAGGACTGTTATGTTTTTCTTCCCAAAATAGGACTAAGATGACATTATTTACCGTTATCTTTTGGACATGACTGCCAAATAGTTGCAGTACTATGCATTCAACATGACAGTATTTATTATAATTAATGACAATATTTTTCAATCATGACAACAACAACTCTTATTTCAGAAAGAATAACATAGTGGTCTTATTTTGGAATTCCCAAAGTTGTTTACTCCTATTTAGAGCAATTTCCCTATTATTATTACGAAGTACAATTGGACAGGAGAACTTTCTCTCTCATGTGTAGTTCTTTTAAGTATAATATATGAGATAAGTTGACTAATAATTGAGCGGGAGAATTTTATCTCTCATATGTAGTGGTTTTAGCCTTTTAATTATATGAAGATAATCTTGCTAATAATTGAGCGAAATAATTTTTCTCTCTCTCTCTCATATGTATCTACTAGATACTAGAAGATAAACTTGCAAACAGTTGAGTAGGGAAATTGAGCAGGAGAGTTTTTCTCTCACATGTAGTGCTTTTAGGTATGAGAAAATAAGTTTGCTAACAATTGAGCGATAAAACTTTCTCTTTCATATGTAGTTATTTTAATTATAAGGCAAGTCTGCTAACAATTGAGCGGAAGAATTTTGTCTCTCATATTTAGTGTTTTTAGTTACAAGATAAACCGGCTAACATTTGAGCACTATTTTCTCTCTCTCATGTGTAGTGATTTTAAGTTAAAGAAGATAAACTTTCTAACAATTGAGCATGAAAATTTTATCTCTCATATGTAGTGCTTCTAGGTACACCACATTAGCTTGCCAACAATTGAGCGGGAGTATTTTCTCTCTCATATGTAGTGTTTTTAGGTATTAGATAGATGTGTAGTGATTTTAGGTTAAAGAAGATAAACTTTCTAACAATTGAGCATGAGAATTTTATCTCTTATATGTAGTGCTTCTAGGTACCACCACATTAGCTTGCTAACAATTGAGCGGGAGAATTTTCTCTCTCATATGTAGTGCTTTTAGGTATTACATCAGTTATAAGATAAGCCGGCTAACAATTGAGCGTTATTTTTTCTCTCGTGTGTAGTGATTTTAGGTTAAAGAAGATAAACCTACCAACAATTGAGCGGGAAAATTTTGTCTCTCATATGTAGTCTTCTAGGTATTACCACATAAGCTTGCTAACAATTGAGCGGGATAATTTTCTCTCTCATATATAGTGTTTTTAAGTATTAGAAGATTAGAAATAAGTTTACTAACAATTGATCGGGATAATTTTTTCTCTCAAACGTAGTTCTTTTAAGTATCAATATGAGATAAGTCGGCTCACAATTGAACAAGATAATTTCCTCTCTCATATGTACTGTGTTTAAGTATATGAAAATAAGAAGATAACATTCCTAACAATTGAGAGAAATAACTTTATCTCTCATATTTTTTCTTTTTAGTATGATCATTTGACTAACAATTGAGCGGAAAGTTTTCTCTCCGATATGCAGTGCTTTTAGGTATATAAGAAGATAATATGGCTAAAAATTGAGCGGGAGAGTTTCTTCTCTCATAAGTAGACCTTACTTATGAGCGGAAGATTTTCTTCTAATACAACGTATAAGAAGATAATATGGCTAAAAATTGAGCGGAAGAGTTTCTTCTAATACAACGTATAAGATAAGCCAGTTGGCTAACAATTGAGTGGGCAAATTATGTCTCATATACATACTTAGCTATTTTACTTATAAGATAAAACATCATCTAACAATTTAGCAAGGTAATTTTTTCTTTCATATGTTAGCACTAATTTAACCAATGAGTAACAAATCACTATTTAAGTAATATCATTAATTTTAATATTTATTGTATTCACTTCATGTCACTAACTTATTGTAACCATTTTTTTAGAGTAGTATTAATTTTAATACGTAGTATTTATTATAATCATGAAAATTATTAAGTAGCAAATTCTAATGAGTGGTGTCTGTTAACTTTCCCTAATATACTCTTCATCGAAAATGTAGAAATATAAAATGTTTTTTTTTTAATTTTAATATTTAATTAAATCATAAGTAAAATATATGCATCGACTGCTTCTTCCCGTGCGTATGCACGGGTACTAATTCAGTGGTACATGTGCCTTTTAAGACATTTTTATCCGATTTTTACAAAAAATATATCAAAATTCATAAACTTTTGTGATCTTTCATATGAGGTCAATATTGAATATATAAAAATATAATTTATTAACGGTCTCTATAATTATGCTTAAAATTATTTATAGACATTTTTAGATCTATTTTGCTCTCTGAATTGGGGAAGTTATTGTAAGTGATCATTTTTAGCTACATTTGATATACTCTCTCTGTCCCTAAATGTTGTTCCAATTGCGGATTACGAAGGTTGACTGACGATAAAGTTAAATGATCCCTGTGAAAACTCGGATTATTTTTAGTAAAAAAAATTTACATATTCAGAAACTACATTAAACCCGCTACAAAGTCTGCAAAAAATAATTCAACTTTTATAAAACTTTGATATAAAAAGTAAGAGTTT